TCCTACGCTTCCACAGTCGGAGGCAGCCATGATCCCAGATGTCTCTTGCTGGAAACCACAGGAGGGGAGAGTTGCTCTCGCTCTCAGGTCATGCTTGCTGGTTCCCCGGAAGAGGAATCTTAGGTTTTTATGAATCACAGAAACAGGGAATTGGAAGAGTCGGAAGGGGCCCCAAGGAGGGAGAAGGGCCCTCGTGATTGAATCCCGCTTGCTGGTTGTGGGGTGTGAAACACAAGAGCAGTCAAGTACAACATTCCTAGAGTGAACATGTTTACTCATGGGGAGGAATGTTTGTCCAGCCAGCAGGTCAACTTCCTGTTTCCTTCTGGACTGGGACATACTTCCTCTGCATGTGACTAGAGGTGGGTGTGGCCTCACCTGTGCAGGTAATGACAAAAGCACAGGGCAGGGCAGCCATCTCTCTCTCTCTGACTACATGCATCGAAGAAGCAACATCTGCTTAGCCAAAGATGCTCTCTTGGCCAAGAGAGGACAAAGGCCCTGTATCCTTATGAGATAGTTTCCATGTGTATGTTACTTTTCTAAGCTAAGTCTGCCTTCTGGGATCCTATTGTGAACAGAATGATGTGTGAGTAAACCTTTTTATACTTTTATAGAAGACTGTGTCGTGTCTTACCTTTTATGAGGGAATAAGGGGGAAATACCAGAACAGTTATTATAGAGGCTTTAGCGAGCCTGAGCAAACACATCTGCTGTGAGTTTAAAAAGGGGAATGTTACTCTGCTAAATTGTGAACTTGTTGGAAAGGAACAAGTTGGAAAGGCTATAAATCAAACAATATATCCTCTCCTGCATCCCTGAACATTCCCACATTGGTTTCCCATTGAGGCATCTGGTTGGCCACTGTGAGAACAGGATGCTGGACTGGGTGGGCCATTGGCCTGATCCTGCAGGCTCTCCTTATGTTCTTATGCGCATGGAATGATTCCCAGGAAGGGAGTGGAGGTGGGGCTCCTGGGTCTTTCAATGAGTTACTTTGTCACCACCTTTGCTAGGACATGGACTGATGTTTTGGAGGTTCACAGTCTTCTAACCTCAACCCCTGTGCTCCATGTACATCCAAACTGTCAGAGTCTGAGGGCTCATCCTCTGAATGAGCCTGTCTGTCGTTTGGGGACACAGGTGTCTGTGGGAATGTTCAGGGTGGTGTAGTGGTTAAGTGGTTAAGAGCGGTAGTCTCGTAATCTGGTGAACTGGGTTCGTGTCTCCGCTCCTCCACATGCAGCTGCTTTGAGACTCCTTTGGGTAGTGATAAAGCGGGATATCAAATCCAAACTCTTCTTCTTCACCTCCCCATGTGTAAACATGTTCACTCTAGGAATCTTGTACTTGACTGCTCTTGTGTTTCACATTCCACAGTGTCCACAGTGGGGCCGAGGGCCTTCCAGCAGCTTAAGCTGCCTAGACTGGGACAACCTGCCTGCAGCCGCCACCTTTGCTTTGGTAACCTTGAGGTCGGATTCCTGCAATGCGCTTTCTGTGGGGCTGCCTTGGAAGTTGCTTCAGAAACTGCAAGTGGTGTGCAATGTGGCCGCCCAATCACAGGCAGGCTCAAGGCAAGCAGCTCCTATTTCACCAATCCTGCCACAGCGGAGCTGAATGTCTGGAAGTTGCCAAACCCAATTCAAGTGCTGGTTTGGACCTAAGAAGCCCTGTACGGATCAGGACCCCAGGATCTTTCAGGGCTCCTCTCCCAGTAGGAACCGACTTTCCTATCTTCATCTGAGACCTTTCTCTGGGTGCCTCCTCTGAGGGGAGTTTGGGGGGCTCGCTACTAACGGAATGCCCTCTCCAGTGGGGTCCACCCTGGGCAGCTGCTCCCAAACCTGTTTCCCGCAAACCACCAGGCCGGAGAAATGGCACGTGGGTGGGCTCATGCCCTGCTCCGGTGCAAGGAGAAAATTAACGGGGGTGGGGTGTTGTTTGGGGTATCTCAGCTGCAGAGGAAAAGTTCACTGCTCTGAGCACATTCAGAGCTTCCGCAGGCTGTATCTTAGCCTTTTCAACAAACCTTCCTGTGCACCTCTCCCGGTCCTAACCTTCAGTAAATTCCTTTAATCCTGCCTCCCACCCGCTCTCGTTTCCCACAATTTTTAAGCACGGCGCACATGTGTCGGGGGCTGGGCTAGGTGTCCCTTTCGGTCCCTCCTCCTCCTCCTCCCCGACTCTACAGTTCTCTGTGCAAAGCGGCGGGACTGCAGCTGGCAAGGCAGAGGCGCTTGGAGGACGCGCTGCAGCAGCGCGCGCGGGGAGGAGATGCGATTCAGTGCTGCTGCAATGGGCCGCAGTGGGGGAGCTGAGCAGGCGCCTCTGGAAGGTGCGCAGGCGGCCACAGGGACACCCCACGACGCGCAGAAAGAGAAAGCTGCCCCTCTCCAGCCCCTCTCTCCTAAAGCCCCCTTCCTCGCCCAAAGCCAAGTCCTCTATGCCCGGAGCCTCTGCACAGCCCCCGTCCCTGTCCGCCCGCCCTTGGCTGGTCCCTGCCTTCTGCTGGAAGGGAGGAAGGAGCCGGGCTGGGGAGCCAGCAAGGAACTTTCCCAAATTCTCAGTGCTGCAGCCAGCGGCTCAGCAGAGGCCCCGAGTCGAAGTCAAGGAGCGCCATCTAGTGGGCGAAGGGGGGCAACAGGAGAGCAAGGAGAGAGAACACCCCCCCCCCGAGGCTGCAGGACTGGGGTCCAGCTGTGGGACGCCGGTTGGTGCAGGACTCCAATTCCCATCAGCCCATGGCAGCCTGGCCAGCGCTCAGGGAGGACGATGGGAGTTGTAGCCCAAGAAAAGTCCCACCATCTGGGCCTCTGAAATGGGTGCAATTGGGTTCTGAAATCCGCACGCAAGCAAGCGCACCTGGGTTGAGACTGAGGCTTGGAATTCAAGCTACCGAAAGTTTGGCATTCGCGTTAGTGAAATGAGCAGGATGCTTTGGAGTGGGAAAAGGCGGCGGAACCGATCCCTGCTTTCCCCCAGCGAGTTGTGGGAAGGCTGAACTGAGCACTGCAGAGTGCCCTGGCTCAGAGTCTGGTTTAAAAATCAATTCATTTGCTGCACCCCCAGCTTCTCTCCTTGTTTGGGGGGCTGTAGGTGACCAAAAAGGGACGTGGGTGGCACTGTGGGTTAAACCACAGAGCCTAGGACTTGCTGATCAGAAAGTCGGCGGTTCGAATCCCCGTGACGGGGTGAGCTCCCGTTGCTTGGTCCCTGCTCCTGCCAACCTAGCAGTTCGAAAGCACATCAAAGTGCAAGTAGATAAATAGGTACCACTCCGGCGGGAGGGTAAACGGCATTTCCGTGCGCTGCTCTGGTTCGCCAGAAGCGGCTTAGTCATGCTGGCCACATGATCTGGAAGCTGTACGCCGGCTCCCTCGGCCAATAAAGTGAGATGAGTGCCGCAACCCCGGAGTCAGTCACGACTGGACCTAATGGTCAGGGGTCCCTTTACCTTTACCTTTTTAGGTGACCAAAAAGGACAAAGGAGATGGTGTTGGACTTTCGGAGGAAGAGAGAACTAGCCCCGGCTGTACATCGGGGAGGGCTGTGTGGAGAGAGTCTCTTCCTTTAAATTCCTAGGAGTTTATCTCAGTGAAGACCTTACTTTGAAAATCAATACAACCCAGGTGGTTAAGAAAGCCCAACAGAGACTCCATCTCCTCAGAGTATTGCGGAAGAACAATGTCAATCAACATTTGATGATCTCCTTCTACTGGTCCACAATAGAAAGTGTCCTTTCCTACTGCATCAGGGTGTGGGACGCTGGTTTGACATCATCTGATAGGAAGTGCCTACAGAGGGTGGTGAATACAGCACAAGATATTATGGGCTGTCCCGTGAATCTGCTGGATGAAATAGCTGAAGAACATGAGAGTGAGGAAAATTCTCAGGGATGATTCACACCCTGGCCGGCACTTTCTTGATCTCCTGCCCTCAGGCAGAAGATATAGAAGCACGATTAGTCGCACCAACAGGGTAAAGAACAGCTTCTATCCGTGGGCTGTTGGGCTGATGAATGAAAAGACAACAAAAGGGCAACTGACTTTCGGGTTTGGTGGGTGTGTGTCAGTAAACAAGGGGAATTAAGACTACGAGAGCTGAGGGGGGGTGCTTGTGTAATCTCATTGTATACAAGTTGTGCAAGTGACAATAAAGAGCCAGTGTGGTGTAGTGGTTAAGAGCGGTAGTCTCGTAATCTGGGGAACCGGGTTCGCGTCCCCACTCCTCCACATGCAGCTGCTGGGTGACCTTGGGCCAGTCACACTTCTCTAAAGTCTCTCAGCCCCACTCACCTCACAGGGTGTTTGTTGTGGGGGAGGAAGGGAAAGGAGAATGTGAGCCGCTTGGAGACTCCTTCGGGTAGTGATAAAGCGGGATATCAAATCCAAACTCTTCTATTTCAATTTCAAAAGTTGGGGATACCAGAGAGTCAGACTTGACTGGCTGCTCCACAGGGCAGGGTTAAGCTCCTCTTAAAGAAGAAGAAGAAGTTTGGATTTGATATCCCGCCTTTCACTCCCCTTCAGGAGTCTCAAAGCGGCTGACATTCTCCTTTCCCTTCCTTCCACAACAAACACTCTGTGAGGTGAGTGAGGCTGAGAGACTTCAGAGAAGTGTGACTGGCCCAAGGTCACCCAGCAGCTGCATGTGGAGGAGCGGGGAATCGAACCCGGTTCACCCGATTACGAGTCCGCTGCTCTTAACCTCTAGGAGCTGGGCAACAGATAGGCTTTCAGGATGAATTTGGGTGGAGTTCCTCTTGGACCACTCCAGCGCCAAGAGGTTTTTGGGTCTGGTCATGCTGGAACCATTCCTCCCAGTTCCTTTGGGCCACCCACCCTCCTCCTCCCATTCCATGGAGATCTCCCCAGGGATTGAACCTGGGCCATCGTAGACACAAAGCAGCTCAGAAGACATCTGCTGATGGACAGAGAAGGAAGGAACCAGGCAGACCCTGGCAAAGGACACACTTTGGACACAATCATCACCCAGAACAGAGTGCCCACCTTTAATAGCCAAGCACACACCCACCCCTGCCCGCTCCCCTCACACACTCGTGTTCTCCCCATAGTCCATGTCGTCGTCGTCGTCGTACCTCTCCGGCGGAAGGTGTCTGATGACGTGACGCGTGGAGACATCCTCATAGTCAAAGAAGTTGAGGTTGAGGTTGCGGGCGATGCGGCGCCCCACAGAATCGAGAAGCTGGGGGGAGACACAGGCAAAGTGGGGCAGGTTGAGCAGGCCTAGAAGGATGGAGCCTGTTTTCACCCCTCCAACTCTCAAAGGTGGGGAGAGCCGGGCAGTGAGCCCCAGGGGCCACCTGAGGCCTGCGGGGGAAGCAGAGGGAGCCCCCTAACCCCTTTTGCTGGGCCTCTGCGGTTACTTGACAGAAAGGCCCTTTTTACATACAGATGGGAGTCAGATCCAAAAGTGGAAATGAAGACAAGGTGGCTGCTGGGAAGTGAACTCCGTCAAAAGCAGTAGGAGTAGACTTCGGATAAAATAGCGGTCCAGTAGCAGTCCATTTATTTATTTGATTTGATTTTTTGAATTTCTATACCGCTTTATACTTTTAAGAAAAATCTCAAACCGGTTTGCAGCATATTAAATCAATAAAACATAAATAAAACAACCTGGAGAAAGTCCAATATAGAGCATACAGTCAAAGCAACGTAACAGAAAGCTAAAATATTACCATTGCAGGGGGTTGGAGTAGATGGCTCTACGATTCTACGATTCCGTGATTCCGTGGGAAGGGTGATGTGAAACACGCCTCCCTTTCTCATTCAGAAATCTAACATATGGGACAAAGCCTGCCCCCTTCAGAAACGTGGCTTGCCCCTTCTATATACACACACACAGAGAGATGTTTGTGCTGGATGACCAGAGGCTGCAGGGGGGCATTAGTGCTTAGAATTCCACGGCTAGATCCCAGGATTGGGGTGGGGTCAGTAAAATAGTAGGTCTTATCTGAGAGGGTTCATTATATTTGGAATGCAATCATAAATACAGTTGTACCTCCGGTTACGTAAACTTCGGGATACATAAGCAGCAAACCCGGAAGTATATTTCCAGGTTTTTGCCGCACACACATGTGCAGAAGCAGTAGACTGCTTCTGCGCATGCGCAGAAACACTCTAGCGCCGCATGTACATGTGCAGAAGCGGTCTCCCAGGTTGCGAAAACCTCAGGATCTGGCCGGACCTCCAGAACGGATCCCGTCTGCAACCAGAGGTAGCACTGGACTGTTATATAGTTAGCGGTCTGTGTTTGCCTGAGCTTGAGTCTGGACTAAGGGATCTGAGCTCCTGTGTTCTGAATTGATACATGATATCCAATCACAAAGCATTTCAGGATTTGGGCCTCTGCCATTGGCCCTTGAACTCTTGAGTCGTGATTTGCAGCTTGGAAGTTTAGACAGCCAATCACGTTGGGAGAGGGAGTGTCCCAGGCTTTCAGAAATGTATATAAGCAGTTACTTTGCCCCTGTTTCCCAGTGATGTAGTTCAACAAAGTTTCTTGCTGTTATCTCTGTGCCTTGCCTCGTGGGAACCCACCTATACTTCAACTACCTAAAGAGCTACCCAGGAGACCGACAGGAGCAGCGACCCCTTCAAGAACAAGGGAAGAAAAATCAACATGCACACACCGAAGCACACATGCACACGAGAACCAACCACCAGGTGGCACATGTGCAATGTCTCTCCCTATGATCACAGAATGGTAGAGTTGGAAGAGACCCCAAGGGTCATCTAGTCCAACCCACTGCAATGCAGGAATCTCAACGGAAGCACCTGTGATGGTTTAGATTATACTGAAAAGGAAGTCGAGAAGCAGGCACTAATGGAGTGTTGACGACAACCTAGAGAAACTTTGTGGCCCCATAGCTTTGTGAGAAAGCATTGAGTTTTTCGATGAATGTTAGAAAAATGTTGAAATGAAATTATTTGGCTCTTGTAAAAATGTCTGAAGAATTAGATAAGAATGTTATAGTTAGGAGAAGTTGGTACAAATAAGATTTAAGTTTTAAACTTTAAGGTTTTTTATATGATAAGATGAAAATAGATTAAGGTAATGTAATGACAGAATTTTATGTATTAAGGAAAGGATTTGCTGCGATTATTCTTAATCAGGATACAAGAAAAGGGAGGAGGAGGGGGTCAAAGAAAGAAGGTATTGAAAGTGGAGAATTTGAGAATGATGGTTTTATTTTTTATTTTTCTGTTTTGTTTTTGGTGTGTGTGTGTGTGTGTGTGTGTAATTTTTTTAAAAAAACTTTTTTTTCAATAAATATCATTTTAAAAAAAAGAGAGAGAAAGCATTGAGTTTTTCTCCCAGTGTAGGGATTTTCCCCAGTGTAGAGATTTTTCTCCCATTGCAGGGGGATCAGAACATGGGAGAGGCTGGATCCATCCCTGGGATCGTGGGCAAGCGACTCAGAGTGTCTTGAGGGTTTGCTGCTGTAGCTGGGAAATTTTGGTATGTCAAACGCTCTTGCCCTGGTACTTGGCCTGGGGGCATCTGCCCAGTGAAAGGACTCGCTGTGTGTTGAACTATTGTTTCTGTGTGAGTCTGGTTTTATCTAGTTATATTTTACACTTTCCTAGAGGCAGAGACCAAGAAATGGAGAACCATTAGGGTTTAGGAATCTGCAGGGCCAACGTCTTTACTGCAGTTACCATTCGGATTGTTCTGGAAGGTGCTCCAACCATTAGGAGAGGAAGCGGAGTATCTACATGTATATCAAGCCAATAAATGCATCAGATATCCTGTGTGAAGCTGGACCTTTGGTCCTCCATCTGCCATGCATCTGGTCAAGACAGAGAGCCCCATAACTGGCCCATTAAGGGTCTGCCCCATACCTCAAACTGGTCCGTCAGTGCAGCCAGGGTGAGCACCTCCAGGCGGTATCCATTGATAATGAGGCTGTAGTAGCGTTTTCCGTAGGCTGGAATGAGGAGGAAACAGAGTGTTACTATGGAGGCTGCCATTGCTGGTCCAGGGTATGGGGTGGAAAATAGATTGATGTAAATCACCTGTGTGGGGTAATTGATAAAAGAATTGGCTGGATCCCTAGATACAAAGTGTGGGGCTATACACACTTTAGAAAGAGACCCCAGCAGAGTATTAAAATCACAGTATCATGCAGCACAGTGAAGCATGAGGAATAGAGGCTGATTGACATTTTAAATATCCTGTTTACAGGGCTCCCCCTCTCCACCCCTCTCTCAATAAACAGACCACACCGTTAGTAGGTTTAAATCATGGGTAGGCAAACTAAGGCCTGAGGGCCGGATGTGGCCCAATCACCTTCTCAATCCAGCCCATGGACAATCTGGGAATCAGTGTGTTTTTACATGAGTAGAATGTGTCCTTTTATTTAAAATGCATTTCTCGGTTATTTGTGGGGCATAGGAATTCGTTCATTTTCCCCAAAAAGGTCTGAGGGACAGTGGACCAGTCCCCTGCTGGAAAAGTTTGCTGACCCCTGGTTTAAATGCTTTACTTACAAACTCTAAAGGTCAGATTCATGTGTTATTCCATGCAGCAGCAAGAAGAACAGAGGCTCTTCTTCAAACATCAGGAAGAACTTTCTGGCAGTAAGAGCTGATTGACAGGTTGTGAATTCTCCTGCCTTGAAGGTTTTAAAGCAAGGGCTGTATGGGCACCTGTCATGGATGCTTTAGCTGAAATCCCTGCAGTGGAGCGGGTTGGACTAGAGGACCCTCAGGGCCCCTTCCAATTCTATGATCCCTCTTTATTGGTCCTAGAACAATAGGATCCAGAATGCAGCAGTCTGATTGGTCCACAAGAGCCACCCAATCCAGCTCCAGGTGGAAGGGAATCCGCAACCTGATTGGCCTACAGGAGAATCCTGGAATTAGCCAATCTCGTGGGGCCCATTGGATAAATAATGTATATAACGCAGACATTCTGGGGGAACTTCCATTCCTCCTCACCACTATGAGCTGAATAAAAAGCATGAAATCCACTCTCGACTCTGAGTATATTTCAAGAGGGAAGGCCTGGACGTAACGGGAGAGGAGGAGGAGGAGTTTAGCAGAGGAGGCGACAAGGATGCCTTCTACATCCCCCCCCCCCCCGCCATGCTGGTGGTACCATCGGTCTGGGCTATCAGCCGCACGTAGATCTGATGCAGCGGTCCCTCCTGCCAGAGAATGCCTTTGATGTAGAACTGGTAGACCTCCTTGATGTGGTTGATGATCAGCCGGCGCTTGTGGATGTTGCTGATGGACAGCCAGAGTCCGGTCAACATGCCAAAGACGAAGAAAATTGTGAAGTCTTGAGTGCCCTGGAAGGAGAGCAAAGGGTCCAGGCAGAGAAGGTTAGGGGTGCCAGGGGGGAAATGAAGCTTAGAAAGAGGTCCATCCGCGTGAGAACCCTGCTCCTCATCAGGGTCAACCCGTTGCCTCCAGGAATCTCAAAAACAGGAGAATGGAAGGCAAAATCTCTGCCCTACAGCTGCTCTTCGGAGCCAGGTATTCACCTGGACAGGCGTTCCCTAGCCTGGTGCCATCCAGATGTTTTCAACCGCAACTCCAGTCAGGCCTGAGCCAAATGGGACTGATGAGGATTGCAGTACGAAACATCTGGAGGGCACTAGGTTGGGGTATATTGGTCCAGCCAATCTGTTTTCTCCATCCCCACCAAAAAAAACCCTGGAGAATCTCCTCCCCAGCTTGGCCGATTCCCTTGTCCAGATGTGGGAGATCTGAGATGTCAGCTCAGAAGGACTGCGCAGGGACGTCTCCTGATGAAACGCAACACAAGTAGTGGACGGGAGCAACCTTATCTGGGAAAAAGCTTTGCAACAAGATCTGGGCCACCCAATTGAATATAATGAATGGGAAAGACTATGGACAAAAAATATAAATTTTACAGCATGTTACCTAATAAGAGAGAACTATATGAAAATGTATCACGGGTGGAACTGGCACCAGAAAGGCCGGCAAAAATGAATAAAGCATATAATTATAAGTGCTGGAGATGCAAGATGCAAAAAGGAACCTTCTACCATATGTGGTGGACATGCCCCGAAACTGGGAAATTTTGGAGCATAATCCACGAAGAAATAAAGAAAATATTAAGAATATCATATAGTAAAAGGCCAGAGGCATTCCTTTTAGGAATTTTAAATGATATTCCAAAAGAAAAAAACTATTTGTTTCTTATACGCAACATCTGCAGCAAGAATCCTGGTGGCTAAGTACTGGAAAGGGAATCAGTTACCCACTAGGGGAGAGTGGCTACGTAAGCTCTCAGAATACTTAGAATTAGCCAAATTGACAGGTATAATAAGACAAAAACCAAAAAGTGAAGTAAAAAAAGAATGGGAGTGCCTAAATGAATACCTCAAAAGCCAAGGTTCGAGGGCAGAAATCTGGCTGAGTCTGGAATAACCTTGTGAAGTGAAAGGATATAAAAGAAGGATTTATATCTAGATGTTAGGATAGAGAGGATAAAGAAAACAGGAAAACAGGAAGACAGAATGAGAGATAAAGGAGGTGCTGTGGGATTGGTGGAAGTCAATGTCTTGTTGTTGTTGTTCTAGTGTTTATAATATTAACTTGTAAGATATGGATTTGTTTGTTTGTTTTTGTTGTTGTTTTTTTTAGTTTTCAAATGTTGATTTTTGTGAGTTGTGTATTGTTATTTTTTGATATATTTTGTGTTGTTGTTGTGTGGAAAATACTAATAAAATTCATTTATTTATTTTTTAAAAAGCTTTGCGCTCTCTTTGCAACCCACCCTTTCTCTGTAGGGTTGCAGAAGGCCTTTACTGCTACGAGGAAGTAGCAGTTGGAAGGCATTCTTCAGACATAACGTGGAACCTGTTGCGTGCCATCATGGACCTCCCACTGGCCTCGAAATGGGCTCCGAGTGGTGTTTTCTTGGGTGTGGCCTGTTTTTCTACCGCTGATGCTCAGGCCAACTTCTCTGCAGCTTTGATGACCATAACTGAACCCCCGAGACAACTGGCTCCACTCACTGCTAAGCATATACGTATTTTTTGCTCTATAAGACGCACCAGACCACAAGAAGCACCTAGTTTTTGGAGGAGGAAAACAAGAAAAAAGTATTCTGAATCTCAGAGGCCAGAACAGCAAGAGGGATCGCTGCGCAGTGAAAGCAGCAAATCCCTCTTGCTGTTCTGGCTTCTGGGATAGCTGCGCAGCCTGCATTCGCTCCATAAGACGCACACACATTTCCCCTTACTTTTTAGGAGGGAAAAAGTGAGTCTTATAGAGCAAAAAATATGGTAAATGTGGGGCCAGCTAGCAAAGGAACCTGCTCCCGGGGGGGGGGGGGCAGGGGAAGTCCCAGCGGAAAAAACTTGAAGGCAAGTTCGGCAGGCGTGAGAGTTCAGCAACAGAGGAGGCCAGGGCACCCCACTCTGCCCAACAAAACCCCAAACTCTCAACAGTCACTAAAAAGCCAATGAAAAGCCAGCAAGGATAGAGGGGGGTAGGGGGGGTCATTTTAGGGGGTGAAATCTAATTTTTGCCAATTTATTCAGTGCCAGGTCTTAAAAATATGTTCTAAGGTGTAAGGAATTGAAATCTGCTATTCTTTTTGTGATTGGACAACAATTAGCTCGGTAAGTCTACATCTGATGAAAAAGCACATCAACTGCTTTCCGAAAACCAATGAACGTTAATTTTACCTCCTGAAAATAAATAAATATAATAAATATATTTATATATTTATAAATAAATAAATAAAAATAAATAAATAAATAAGATATAAATAAATGAATAAATAAAATATAAACATTTTATAAATAAATAAATAAATAAATAAATAAAATGCAAGCGCTTGGCAACCATTTTTTATTATTTCTATGCAATTTTACACACCATTTACTTACCAAGCAAAATCAAATTATATTAATTTTACCAAAACATCTTTTGAATTCCCCTAATTTTTGGAATTTGAAAGTTGAAAATTTCAACCCAGTGCCCAGTGCCCAGTGTTTTGCACTGTCTTTATCGTGAGCTTACAGGTCAGGTGAGCCAGAGGGGTCCTGATGACTGAGGTGTATAAAATTAAGCAGGATGTGGATAGAGTTGATACAGAAACACTAGAATTTGTGGACATACGATGAAGCTGAATGTCTGAAGATTCAGGGCGAATAAAAAGAAGGTCCTTCATGCAGTGCAGAGTTAAACTGTGGAGGCAGGGATGGCCACAAACTGGGGCGGCTTTCAATGGGGTTCTTGATGGCTCCTAGCCAGGGCTTTTTTTCTGGGGGTACGCAGGAATATGCATACCCCTAAACATTTTGTGAATCTAAGTTTGGCCTCATTGAAGGGAGAACAGGATGCCTGACTAGATGGGCCATTGGCCTCATCCAGCAAGCTCTTCCTGATACCAATTTGTACAAACACACACGCGGACCCTCAACTTCACAAAAGAAGCACAATTGAGGCTGTGTACTTGATTGCATCAGTTCCCTAGACGCAAAATGGGGAGGAATGGTAATCTCCCTTACAGGACAACTCCCTTTTATATTCCTATTCAATTCTGTGAATGTACAGTGGAACCTCAGGTTGTGAACGATCCATGAGGGAGGCACGTTCACAACCCGCAGCGTTTGCACCCCTGTGCGTGCGCAAAGCACGATTTAGCTCTTCTGCGCATGCGCGAGCACCGAAACCTGGAAGTAATCCATTCCGGTACTTCCGGGTTTCAGCGCATCCTTAACCTGAAAATGCGTAACCTGAAGCATCTCTAACCCAAGGTATCACTGTACCTGGTAGTTTGTGGAGGAATTAGCTGGTGCCCAACTGCAAAGCGGTGTCAGGAGATGCAACAGAAGAAGGCAAAGTCAAGAGAGCAGCGAGGGAGGAATGTGAGTTAGCGCAGTCGCACAGACCCTTTGGGCCAAGTGACTAGCTCAATACTTTCAGGGGAAATCTGTGTTCCCACAGCGGGGGAATTGTGGCAAGACAAATACATCTCGTTGGTACCTGGTTCTCAGCAGTGGCAAGAATCATGTGCCTACCCGAGGTGATTTGAAGTGAAGTATGCTGAGCCCCAAAGAAAGCAGGAAAATCACCAGTCCTTTCCAGATCATGTCCTTGTAATATTCAATCACAAACACTGCAGGGGGGGGGCAGAAAGGGCAAAATTCAGGACTAAGCCCCGCGGAGCTGAGCTACAGGCCACCACAGCCCGGGCTGAAATGGCCAGGGCTGATCCTTCTTCCCAAGTCCCCAACCTCCCTCCCTCAGCCCAGGCCACAGAACCCAGCACTGAAAACACAAAAATTAGAGCTCCTGATGCGCATGCAATTGAAATTGTGTTTCATATTTCAAGGACACAAAAAATGCAACAGTGGAGAACTGTTTAGACACCTTTTTCTTTGGGTGAGCAAGCTAAGACACAGACTCCCCCTTGCTATCATGAAGATATTCTGAAACACGGAAGTTTTAGCAGCTAAGTCTCCCTGCCCAACCCCAGACATGCATCTTGCATGAGAATAACTCCCTCTCCTGTCTTCTCCCGTGTCAGAGACAGGAATAGGGCTGGGTTTGTGGGATGAAAACAGATCTGACCCATGCGTGGGTAAATTAACAAAAGTATAGGCTGGGTGCCTGGATTCAAAATGCAGTACTTTGCACACTCCCAAGGGGGAGACAGCCCCCAGCAGGGTTAAAAACACTCTTAAGTTAACCAGCAGCATAGTGTGGAATATGGGTTATTAGACCCTTCTACGTATCCCGTTTAGTCTGCCTTAAAACACATGTCCCCTCCCTCTACCCCTGTAGCAATGACACACACCGCTAAGTATGTTTAAAGGCTTTCCTTACTAAATCCAAAGGTCTGATTCATGCACTGATCCATGCAGCAGCAAGGATAACACAGGCAGATTACTCTTGGGTGCAAAATGCACAATATAGTTTCAAACATGCCATCTGAACTTGCTGCAAGTTCAGACACGTCCATACTGGTTGGTTACATGGCTGGAAGAGGTAGGTAGCCGTGTGGGTCTGCCGTAGTCGAAACAAAATAAAAAAATTCCTTGCAGTAGCACCTTAGAGACTAACTAAGTTTGTTCTTGGTATGAGCTTTCATGTGCATGCACGAATCTGAAGAAGTGTGCATGCATACGAAAGCTCATACCAATACCAAACTTAGTTGGTCTCTAAGGTGCAACTGGAAGGAATTTTTAAAATTTTTTTTTTGATGGCTGGAAGAGAGCGTGAGAAAGGAAGAGAAGCACTTTCACTTCCTCCCTCAAGGGGGAGGCATGACCTAGCTCAGTCTAGGAACATGGCTCTGTTGTCTTAACTCCTTCATGCATGAACTAGCCCGCATGCACAGTTATGTTTGACTGCAGTTTCCAACGCTGGGGAGGCTGGGGTGGGGGGAGATACCGTTTGATGGTTCCCTACGATGTGTGCAATGGTTGCTAGAGCAGACTTCAAGTAGAACGGTGGCCCGTCTCAGGCAGTCCTCCAACCGTCCTCAGCCCAAGCAAGAAGACCCAAGAGGCCTCCCTAAGGCTTTGCTCCTCACCTTTGGGCTGCTGTACTTGGAACGGGAAATACTTGTTCTCCTTGAGCAGCTCAGGGAGGTTTTTCTCTCTGCTGGCAAAGCTGCAGTGCCAGAGGACCAGGGGGCCCTTGAGTATAGCCTTGGCCATCCTGCTGGGTCTTTAAGGGAGCGTCTCTGCACTTTCTCCTTCCTGGAAAAGAACTGCTGGGGAGAAGAGGGAGGACCCTCGTCACGGGACGGACAGACTGTGGCTGCAACTCCTATCAGCCCTTTTTGAATGGTAAGCATTTGCAGATTCTTAAGGTAAAGGTAAAGGGACCCCTGACCATTAGGTCCAGTCGTGGCCGACTCTGGGGTTGCGGCGCTCATCTCGCTTTACTGGCCGAGGGAGCCGGCATACAGCTTCCGGGTCATGTGGCCAGCAGGACTAAGCCGCTTCTGGCGAACCAGAGCAGCACATGGAAATGCCATTTACCTTCCCGCCAGAGCGGTACCTATTTATCTACTTGCACTGACGTGCTTTCGAACTGCCAGGATGGCAGGAGCTGGGACCGAACAATGGGAGCTCACCCCATTGCGGGGATTCGAACCGCCGACCTTCTGATCGGCAAGTCCTAGGCTCTGTGGTTTAACCCACAGCGCTACCCACGTCCCCTTTGCAGATTCTTACTTACCCCCTAAGAATCTGACTTCCTTTCCTTATAAAGACTGCCTCTGTCTTTCAGAGAAGGCGTTGCTAAGGAAAAGCCAGGGCCAAAAACCAGGACCAACCAGTGCCCAAATTATTTCTGTGCACCTTTTTCCACCTGGTCCTGCAGCAGGTGTGGGACAGTCATGGGACAGCTTCCGTAGCAACAGCGGCCAACAGAATCACTCATCCCCATGGAAACCGGGCTTACACCGCAGACAAGACCACAGCTGCTGCCCTCTGCAGAATCACACAGGAACGTGCTTAATTCAAGGAGTGACACACACACCCCGTGCCTCCCTCTTCACTTTCTCCTCCCCAAGAGCTGAACATAAGACCACCTCTCACCAACCTGAACGGGAAGCTTGCTAGAGTTAAAGTGGAATGTCATTCATTTATTTATTAAAAACAGTTGTATACCACTGTGCCATAAAAATACGTATCAAAGCCCTTTAAAGCAGTAAAACATAAACCAGTACAATAAAAACCATGTTAAGAAGATAAAAACAGACATCCATTGACTATTGTGGAAAGATGTATTCTTAATTGCCTGCACAGGCCTGGCAGAACAGGAAAGCTTTCAGCAGACATATGAAAGTTGGCCCAGAAGGCACTCACTGAATCTCTAGTAAGAGAGAGTTCCACAGGACTGAGCCAATGACACTAAAAGCTCGCTAAAGGATCACATCCCTGACATGGGTAGGCAAAACAAGTCAATGTTCAATGGCAGCAACTTCCCCCAGATGTTACGAATAGCAGCTCCCCCTTATCTTCCTAGTCTAGATTGGACAAAGTGTTTTTTTAGGGGGTCCAGGTGCAAGGATAAGAAAACATCCGGAAGTTGCTGGATAACTCCTGTTTGAGCAACCAGCTTTCTACAACCCAGGCCCAGAGAGAACAGAGAGTCACACCCACTGTGCAAATTTTAAAAAACTCTTTTATTCTGGTAGAGTTTGGAGCTACAAACAATAGAAAAGACAACAGAAATAAGTTACAAAAAAGGTGGGGACAGAGCAACTAGAATGTTTCCCCTCCCAGTAGTGCAGCCAGAACATCACAGTCTCTTTTCTCCTTGCAAGGGACAGATCCTGCACCTCTGCTGCCTTGAGGAAGGTGTAAGACCCCCCTGGGAAAGGTGTCGGTGCTGAAAAGGACAGGAACTTGGCCTGCTGAGGCAAGGAGAGACAGAACTGATCCTCCTATTATGATATTCCTGATGAGGCAGCTGCTATGAGGCATCTCCTGGTGTGGCTGGCTCTTCCGAGCTGGTCAGGAGCTGCTGCAAACACTGCCGGATTTCACCGTAACCCCGGTACACCTTCTTCATGCCCCGTGGCAAATGGCGGCAGGATGACAGGTTGAGGTAGCTGAGAGCAGGGCAGCTGGCGATCAGGGTGCTTATGGGGAGAAGGAAAGGAGATCAATGTTAAGCAGTGCACCTTGCTTGATCCCTCTCAACCTTGTTGGTGTGGGGAATTGGCAAAACATTAGATTATCACAAGGCCACTCGTAACATGAAGGTCAGTAACAGGAGGAAACACCAAAATGTCCCAAATGGATTTAAAACAAGAGATTCCCTAAATGTGAAAACAGTGCAAAGTTCCTCCCAACTACTCGGGAATGTGGCTTCCGTCCCATCGGGGACAGGGGGCTTGTGGGTGGGAAAGCTGGCCTGAAAAGCAGCCATTATTCGGTCCAGGGAGCAACATTCAGCAGAGGTCATGTTGTGAGTGGCACTTGCTACTTTTTGGTCTAACCATAATCCTACACAAACCAGAAGAAATCCACCACCTCTGCTTTTGTACTGCTGGCAGTCATCTCTACACTACTGTCTTTCAGCACCAGAGGGTGTTTTCATTTCACCAAAGATCCAAATAGTGATGAAACTGTTTTTGACTATTGCTGTTTTATTTTCTTAAAAAAATTACTAAGATGTATGTTTTAAGCCATAGTGAAATTGTTTGCTTGTTTTTACTTTGAGGGATTATGGATATGAAATGATTATATATATTCAACAGTAGCAAGACACAGCCCAGAAGCGGTTCTGTCCAACGATTCTCACCTTTCCTCTAAGGAAGGTAGCACCCAAGTAGTATATAAGTGGCCCCCACATTGTTTTCCTCAAGAGTTGAAGAGAGCTGGCTTGGAGGAGGGGAAAAGATGATCTCAGGGGAAACCCCCGCAGCTCACCTGACCGTACGGAGGGCAGCCTTGGTTCCCGTGAGGTTGAGGGAGCGCAGGACTGGCTCCCCTCTGGCGCTGTCTCCCTGAGTGAAGGCAGCCATTGCTTGCTCCAGGTCACTTTCGCTGAAGCTCTGCCCAGTCAGATCCAGCTCTCTCAAGCTGTGGTTCCACTTCCAGGTGATGAGGGGGCTGCCTTGGAGGGGCAGGTGCAGGTGACTGGCACTACAGTACAGGCCCAGGTAGAGCTGCTCTAGGTCTGCGGAAGACAGCTGGCGTCAGGAGGGATAAGCGTAGCGACAACAAGGAAACGTGCAATGATTAAATAATAAAACCACATGACACAACTGCCACGGGGATGTATCTTACACCAAACAGGGCTGGAAGGCCAAACTCATTATCCAGTGATACAGCCATGTTTCACTGAAACAAATATCATTATCGCTACCGCCACTGCTTTTGACCTGGGGCAGTCCTGTTTTAGATAACTTCTAAAAATCCCATGTACCATCCTCTTGCCATAAACTGCAGGCCGGACAACTCTGCTAAGGGCTCCTTATGAGGTGGCCAAGAGGACCTCCCTACACCCAAGATCTGTGTAGTCTCAACTTCATGTGCCTAAGAACTCTGAAACTACACACGACAACAGCAGAGCTGTGTGCTCCACACACACAATTTACTTCACTGTGGTTTTGCATTCAAACTCCCCTTTCCCCCGCTGAGTTCTTTTATCTTTGGGGGGAATAAATGCCTGAAAGAATGGCTGCACAGAGATAATGGACGCAGAGGGGGAAGGCTCAGCTTCCTCCACAAACAAGGCACCCATACTGAAGAGGAGACCTTATTCCCTCAGGCAGCAGCCCAGCAGTATTAGGTAATGATCCAACTCAGCCTAAGGAAGCTCCTAAAAGGAGGAATCCCAAACCACATGCTACAAATGACTGAGCCAGGCCCTGCTTTAAACAAGCAGATTTGCCCACAAAGGTAAGTATGAGCATGAGTGATGGGATGATGATGACTAGGCTGCCCAGAAAGTGGCCTAGAAAACACAGAGGCGACAGATCCTTCCACACCCACCTGGACAGGGCAGCAGCTCCAACCCCTTGGGGGTGACACGGAAGCAGCCGCGCAGGTCGAGCACACGGAGTCGGCTCGAAGTGCACAGGATCCGTTTCAGCATGCTGTCGTCGACGAAGGAGAAAGAGGTTGTGGCCAGGCACAGCTCCTGCAGCTGCGGGAAGCCTGGGGAAGTGGGAGCCGAGCGGGGAATGGGCTTTGGGTAGCAGATGAGGTTGAGCAAGCGCAAGACCTGGAAGGAACAAGCAGAACAGGAGGGTCAGGAGGGCAGCCCTGAGATCTGAATTACTCATCAGCCACAGGGCAAGGAGACACCAAACCCAAATCCCTGCCCCGAGAGAAAATCTTCCCGCATGAGTTCCTCTCTCAGACATACCAACAAATAAAGCCACACCCACCGTGCATCTGTGGAGCGGTTAAAAACTCCAGGTGACTCAAGCAAGAAAGCCAAGCCACGCCATCTGTTACCGGATAATTGGAAGGGGGGAGAAAAACCTCCCCTACCCCCCCCCCCAGGCTTGCCTCTCCACACCACAAAGCAAAGACAAAGACTCTCCGCTGCACCATTCACTATTCACCAACCAGCTATCTCCCTGGCCTGGCTGAAGTCTCTTGCTTGTGACCCCCGACCTGAACCCATGGGAGTCAAGGTTAGGCGACTGTGGGGTGCTCCAAGGCCTCCCTGTTACACATCTCAGAAGAAGAGAAGGCAGCCCCGCAACCCCAGTTAATCCAGACACACCTGCAGCTGTGGACAAGCTACTTGAAGCTGTTCAATCGGAAGCTGGAAGTGCTGCGTACTTTGCTCTATCTCTGTGTTCACCTCTAGAAGCTGCAGTTCTGGGCAGCTGCCATTCTGGAAAGCAAAGTCAGATATCAATGACAACCAAAAATGGCACTGGGGTCCAGCAGAACCAGTTAAAACCTAGATACCACGAGAAGGTCTGATCCTGCACGCCCACCAGCCTAGCCTCAGACAACAGTGGGGTATGAAGTCAAGCTTTCTCTAAAGATCTCAGCTGGTGATCAGTCTCGCTTGGACTACTGCAATGCGCTCTACGTGGGGCTACCTTTGAAGGTGACCCGGAAACTACAACTAATCCAGAATGCGGCAGCCAAGCCTGGTGACTGGGAGCGGCCGCTAAGACCATATAACACCGGTCTAGAAAGACCTACATTGGCTCCCAGTATGTTTCCGAGCACAATTCAAGGTGTTGGTGCTGACCTTGGAAGCCCTAAACGGCCTCGGTCCAGTATATCTGAAGGAGTGTCTCCACCCCCATCGTTCTGCCCGGACACTGAGGTCCAGCACTGAGGGCCTTCTGGCGGTTCCCTCACTGCAAGAAGCCAAGTTACAGGGAACCAGGCAGAAGGGCCTTCTCGGTAGTGGTGCCCACCCTGTGGAACGCCCTCCCACTGGATGTCAAAGAGATAAATAACTACCAAACTTTTAGAAGACATCTGAAGGCAGCCCTCCTTTAGGGAAGCTTTTAATGTTTAATAGGTTATTGTATTTTAGTGTTTTGTTGGAAGCTGCCCAGAGTGGCTGGGGAAACCCAGCCAGATGGGCGGGGTATAAATAAATTATTATTGTTGTTGTTGTTGTTGTTGTTGTTGTTGTTGTTGTTGTTGTTGTTGTTACCATATGCCAGAAAGTGAGACACCCTGAGCCACAGCTGTTCTTAATACAGCGGTACCTCTAGTTACGAACTTAATTCATTCCGGAGGTTGTACATGATTAGAAGTAAAAAACAGCATTTTGAATTGGGGCCGGAAACTGACTGTGAGCCAATGCAGCTCAAAAAGAATAAGGGTTCACAACTTTCTTCTCCAGTACCTCCCCTTATGATAAAGAGCCATTTCCTACCTTGTGAATCCATTTAGTCAATCCCATTATGGCACCTTTTTA